GGGAAGCAGTGCCCCCGGAAGCCCGTCCATAGATTGCAGTAGGGATTATGCCCCCTGGAGGTGTGCAGTACATCTTGTTTTGTTGTATTTTTTTCACTGCACATTGACGTTAATACATATATATTTTTTTTTAATTCTGACTAGAGGTGAGCTCTGGTGGCCTAGTGGCAAGAAGCTGCACTGTAATCCCAGAGGTGAGCGGTTCGAATCCACCAGATGCTCTGCTGAAGAAGGAGGGACAATCTCCTCCTGTACCAGTCAGATCCAATTTGACGGTACACACACAAAAAATAATAAAAATTTAAAAAAAAAATTTCTGATTGGAATGGAAATTTACAAAGCAAATCGGATTTCCACTCATTCTTGCATTTTGTTTTACACCATCACTTCCAGTACCACAGACCCACAGTGTAATCACACGCTTCCTCCGTGAGACTCTCATCACCACTAATTTTTGTACCCAACCCTAAGCATCTCAGAATTTTTTGCAAATGGAGGCTTGATGACAATCCTGCAAGCCGACAGTCACCATTTTTTAACAGCACGGGTTCACTCCATATCTCTGTGTCTCATTTTGGTAATTATCAGAGAACTTTAAATCTTCCATCATGCTAGTGAACACTCGAAAAGCTTCAGAGGTTGTTAACAATTATAGCTTGCTTGGCTCCACAATCAATTTTTGGCACCAGCAGTCAAGAAATCAAAAGACGAATTGCCCTGGGAAAATACGTTGTCAGTGACCTCTGCAGAGAGCTGAGGAGCAATGATATCAGCCTAGAGACTAAGGTGCACCTAATCCAGGACATGTTCTTCACAATTACTTGAAATGCATTAGATAACTGGACAGTGACTCACTCAGGATGACATTAGAAGAATCAATGCCTTTGAGTTGTGGTGCCGGAGAAGAAGAGTCTTGAACATACCATTAACCACCAAGAGAACAAACAGGTCTGTCTTGGAGAGGGTGAGACCAAGTTTCTCCTTGGAGGTAGGGGTTTTGAAGCTCCACCTGACATACTTTTGTGCATGTGCCCAGGAGGGACCAGTCCTTGGAGAAGGTATCATGCTTGGAAAGGTGGTGGGATGGCGCAGGAGAGGAACACCCCAGATGAGATGGACTGACACAGGGCAGGCATGTTGGAGACAGGTGAATGACATTGGCTCAGGCTAGGGCAGAGTTCAGAGCTATTGTACACAGGGTGTCTATGAGTTATAGTAACTCAATGGCACATAACAACATCATAGGTTCATATAATTTGATGGATGGGTGGGTGGGGTAAAGGAAGTGTGAAAGATCCAGTGTGAAAAACAATGTATACACATTTTGTAAATACAACAGTATAAAATAAATAAATTTAAAAAAGAGGCAATGGTATTGAAGGAGCAAGTTCAGGCTGCTCTGAAGGACTTGGCAAAAAAATAAAGCCCCAGTAATTTCTGGAATACCAATCGACATATTTCAACAAACAGATGCTGCTCCGGATGTGCTCACCAGGTTGTGCCAAGAAATCTGGAGGACAACTACCTGGACAACTGAACGGAAGAGATACATGTTTATTCCCATTCCAAAAACAGGTGACTCGACAAGAGTGTGGAAATTATCAAACAATATCACTAATATCACACACTAGCAAAATCCTGCTGAAGATTATGCAGAAATGACTTGAATAGTACACTGACAGAGAAATACCAGAAACACAAGCCGGGTTTAGAAAAGGTCATGGCTGTAGAGACATTATTGTCAATGTCAGCTGGATCTTGGCAGAAAGCAGAGGACCAGAGGAATGTCTGTGTTTCACTGGCTATGCAAATGCATTTGACTGTGTGGATCACAACAAACTGTGGCTAACCTTGAGGAAAATGGGAATCCCAGAACACTTGATTGTTCTTATGCAAAACCATATTTGGACCAGGAAGCAGCCCTCAGAACAGAGCAGGGAAACCTGCATGGATCAAAATCAGGAAAGGTGTGCGTCAGGGATGCATCCTGTCTCCATAGGAGGAATGTGGCATCAGGATTGGAGGAAGACTCATCAACAACCTGTGTTATGTAGATCACAGAGCCTTGATTGCTGAAATTCAGGAGGACCTGAAGTGCTTGCTGCAGAAGGTCAAGGACTGTAGTCTTCAATATGAATCGAAGCTCAACATCAAGAAGACAAAGATTCTCACCACTGGGCAAATTGGTAGCACCATATTAGATAGAGAAGAGATTGAGGTTCTTAACTATTAGAGTTTGCTTGGCTCCACAATCAACACTCTTAGTACCAACAGTCAGGAAATCAAAAGACAAATTGTATTGGGAAAATCTGCTCTCAGGGACCTCTCCAGAGTACTGGAAAGCAACGACATCAATCTAGAGACTAAGGTGTGTCTAATACAGGCCATAGTCTTTGCAATTACTTGCTGTGCATCAGAGAGCTGGATGATAACTAAGGATGACAGAAGAAAGAATCAATGCCTTAAAATTGTGGTGCTGGAGGAGTCTTGAACATAACATGGACCACCAAGAAAACAAATAGGTCTGTCTTGGAGAGGGTGAAACCTAGTTTCTCCTTGGAGGCTAGGATTTTGAAGCTCCGTTTCACATACTTTGGGCACGGGGCACGTGGCCAGGAGAGACCAGTCCTTGGAGAAGGACATCATCGGAGGGACAGCGCAGGAAAGGAAGACCCGGGATGAGATGGATTAATACAGTAACTGGGGCAATGGAGGTTGGTGTGTTGGAGTAATTTAAACTGGCTCAGGACAGGGCAGGGTTCAGTGCTGCTGTACAAAGGGTCGCTACGGGCCTCAGGTCATTTGATGGCACATAACAACAAAATTATCCTATGATTCACTTTATTATTTTACAATAATAACATAAATAATGCAAATGTCCCTGGGGTCGGCCTGTATAAGGGACACATCCATTTTGCCCGCAGAGCTTTTCAGGGCATGTGCCTGTCCCCATTTTCTAGATTAGGAAACTGAGGTTCAAGAGGGTGATGGACTCCTCCCTGTCCAGGGCCAACCCGGGGAACACTGCTCCAACAAGGTGGTCAGTGTGTCTACGCGCCCGCCAGAGGGCAGCAGATGCGCGGCTGAGCGGGGCAGCCCCAGGCTTGGCGTGGTTCCCTGCCCAGGCTGGCTGCCCAAGGGCTGAGGGGACAGAGGCCCTCTCTTGATGACACAGGCACTTAGGGGGTGTCCTGGGTGAGGGGCTGGGGAGAGTGGCCTGCATCCGGGGGAGGCGGTTGGAGAAGGAAACTTCACTTGGGATGGAGGTTCTGTCCTTCCACAGAGTGGGCACTGGGCTGGGGCCTGGACTCTGTCCCCTGGTCTGCAGTTTCTCATGGAGACTCTGGAGATCCCCTCCTGCGACAGGCTCGCCCAGAACGTCTCATTCCTCCTGCTCTGGGCATACGCACAGCATGGACCCACTTAGAAGGGACAAGCTCACCTGTCTCTTGTCCTGACTGCTCCCGCCAGGCCGGGGTGGCCAGCTCTGTCCACACCTCTGTCCAGGGCTGGGGCCAGGACTCCTCACGCCAGGAGGCAGGACCGGCTCTCCCCAGGGGTCCGAGCTCCAAAGGTGTCCCAGGACCTCTTGGGCTGGCGGGAACTGAACTGTCATCCTCTGTGGCTATAGGACCGGAAGAGTCCAGGAGTTCCAGCTAGGCCAGCGCTGACCGGACCTTACGAGCCAGGCGTAGGGGCCCAGAGCGCTTCGGGAGGGAGGACCCTTGGAAATCCCCCCGCCTCGGGCCTTTCCAGGACATGCTGCGCGGGGGTCAGAAGAACCCGGATCCGACCGCTGAGCCCGGGGCCATAGAATTTCATCCTCAGCTCCACTCTTTTTGTCCTCGAAGCCCTTCCCACTGTCACACCGTGCCAGCTGGACAGGGAAAAGTGTCCCCTGCGGGGGCCGGCTGGGGGCGTGGCCTGGGTTCAGGGGAGGGTCAGCAGCGCGGCCGCCAGCCTGGGGGCGGCGTCACCTGCCCTCTCCCACCAGCTGGGCTCACTTATTCGAGTCTGCCCGCCGGGCAGCCGCGAGGGTCCGAGGCGAGGGAACCCTGGCCTTTGTGCCTAGCAGGGGTGAAGTGGGGGGGGGGGCTTCCTGCGGGCGCCCGGCCAGGGCAGAGGACGGGAAGGGGATCTGGGGGCACCGAGCCATCCGGCCTCACCCCGCCGCGCAGGGACGCTGGATGCGCCGAGGGGCGTGGAGCCTCCGCCCAGCCGGGCGCTCCGTCCTCGACCCCCTTCCCACGGGCCACCCCAGTTCCCCACCGGGAGCCACGCGCGGCGCCAGGAGTGCGCGCAAACAGCGACTGGGCCACCGCAGGAGGACCTCCAGGCTGCTCGCGTCCCCACAGCCCGGACGCCGGGGCACTGGTGGCAGGACAAGGGCACGCCGCGCCCCCGCCCTCCGCAACTTCGGCGGGCGGGCAGGAAGTGGGGGGCGGGCAGGGCCTCGGGGGCGGGGCGAG